GTTTGTTTTAACAGAAGCATTCCTCTGAATACAGTGTGAAAGACTACAGAAGGTAAGACACCAATGTTATTCAGCTCAGGAGCAAATGGATTCACATATAGGCTGGTCTCTCCCCATTGTTTCATTTTGGCTTGGAAAGACAGCGGTTAAGACAATATGTGCTAAGTGGAAAATTAGAGGAGCATCTAGAATTTCATGAAAGAAGAGTGTGTTGGGGATCATGGAGGATTTCAATGAGCAGATTGGATTTGAGCTGAACACTGAAAAAGACTTGGAAAACATAGGGGAGTTGAGTAGAGCAAGAAACACAGAGAATGGCAAATTGAGCTGAAATGGAGGGTTTTATGGGAAGAGAATAAAACTAGAGTGGTCACTTGCAACCAAAATGGCAGAGAAAAGAAATTAAACTTTATCCTGGTTCTGCCATTTAGCAGTTATGGAACACTAGGCTTGATAAACTTGTTTCCTATTTGGTTGAATTGGGATTACAAGCATAGATTTTATTAACATCATCAGGTGATATCATATAGATATTATGTACCCCTTGATATTAGGTGATGAGAAAGACACTTTTCCTTTGCTGTATTCTCTCTAAAAACCCATAACCCTAGTCTAATCATGAGAAAACCATCAGACAAACCAAACATGAGGAACATTCTACTATTTTGTACTACTTTGACCAGGACTCCTCAAAACCGTCAAGGTGTTGAAAAACAAGAAAAGAATGAGAAACTGTCACAGATCAGAGGAGACAAAGGAGACAGGACAACTAAAGTAATGTAGTATCCTGGACTAGATTATAGAACATACAAAAATATATTAATGAAAAAGCTGGTGAAATTTGAATAAAATTGAGAGTTTAATTGACAGTAATGTACCAATGTTGTGTTGATTTCTTAATTTTGACAAACTAACCAAGGTAACATAAGGTAATAACAACAGGGACAATGAAACTGGGTGAGGGGTATGTTATCACTGCTGTCTTTGCAACTTTTCCATAAATATAAAAGTACTCCAAAATAGTTTATTGACAAACTGTATATAGATATGTAGTATATACGTATATATATATGCACTTTATTGAGTTGTTATGAGTATTGAATGAAAGAGCTCATATGAAGCAGCCAGTATAGTGCCTGACACATAATAGGCCTCAAATGCTAGCTTCCTTTACACATTGGAGACTCTAAACAGTGGACAGGTGGGAGGGGTATGAGGATTGAAAGACTACCTATTGGGTTCACTATTCAGGTGATGGGTGCACTAAAAGCCCAGACTTCACCACCACACAATATATGCATGCAAGGAACCTGCACTTGTACCCCCAGATACATTTTTTAAACTAGTGATTTTCAAATTTGGGTTATATAAAAATCACATGGAGATGTTATGTCAAAAGTGCAAACAAATCTCAGGTCCTCAACCTTAGAGATTCTGATTTAGTGGATCTGAAATAGAGTCCAGGAAGAGGAATTTGTAATAGGTGTCCTGCAGAGATTTTATGCAAGTGGCCTATGACCATGCTTGGAGAATTGCTGCTGTAGACTATGGGAATCCTAGAGTGAGAATTGTACATTACCCTGAGGAGGAAAATAATGGAGATAAAAATGCCTGCCCTACTTACATCAAATTGGTTGATGGGAGAAAAATATAGAAGCAAGCACTTCACAAACTGTAAGTTATGATCGAAATCATTACAGATTAATTTGGAAGAGAGGTCTGATTAGGTAGCCATTTAATATTAACAGCAGTGTGGTTGAAATTTAATTTTTATCCCTGTCACCCTCCTAAAAATATTTAGCTGCTTTTCCTGCTTAAATGCTCAGATGACCCATAGGACAAAGGCACACAGTTCAACTCCTTCAATTACAGATGAGCTAACTGAAGCTGAGAGAAGAGATGTGACGGGTTTGAGGTCACAGAGATAGTTATTGAAAGAATGGAATTAATACCCACTCTTGCAAGCTTCAGTCCAACTGTTTTTTCTGCTACCAGATAATCAATAGGTGCCACACTCAGAGTCTCAGACCTTTCATATGGGCTCTGGGAAAAAAATTGATATCTGACTTATTGAGGAGGATGCCAGGAGTTTGTTTGCCTGAGTCCTGCTGACAGTTTTGCTCTTGGTCCACTGTGTTCTAGAATAACTCAGTTTCACTTCAGTGAGGTACAGTAAAAAGGGATCATCTGAACAGGAAAATGGCCCTTCATGGACAGTCTTATATCATACTCAGCTTCTACATCCTCAGCCACGTCAGCTATGTGTTGTCAGCCTGGAAGAGCTCACCACGCCTTCACAACACTGACCAACAAATCAGGTACACTTCCCGGCTTTGGCTCAGCCTGACACTACTCCCATAAAATACTGCTTGTAACTACGCTATCCCGAGGTGGTGTGTAACTCCAGGCCACTTCTGGGAGGAATAGAGAGCAGAGCGTATCACTGTGTGTTTTCCTCCCTCTTTATATAAGTGAAGTCAGATTTATATTAAGGGCAACCTTGAAGAGAAAATTGTATCAGAGAAGTGGGGACAGACATTGTTTGTTAGCTGCTCCAACCTCCCTCCCTTTAGTCATCTTCCAGCTAACAAGCCATCAGCTATCTTTTGGTTGATAAGACATAGGCAGTAATTTGGTGGGTTAGGCTGCTGGAAAACCTTTGATTTTCTTAATAACAAGACCTGCTGCAGCCATCTTGAGAGATGAAATGGAGACCTCGAGAATCAAAGCTATATCCTAAAGAGGGTAGAGCTGCTGCTGGAGCTGGTATTGTGCCCACTTCTCTCTAACTCTACCTTCAGTGACATCACCATGGTGGGAATATTTTCACCATGGAAATTGGCAAATGCTGCAGATCAGGTTTTTCCCACTCTTTCTAGAGAGCTAGTTCTTAGACATAGCAAAACGCCATTGGCAGAGCAGAGTTTAGCAGGAACATGGGGCCTTTATGATCTCCCTGAGAAACTGTGCCATCCTTGCATTGTCCATTGCCATATATTTCTTTATCTCCTTATTAGTTCCTGGGGAGAAATATCAGGTCCTTGTGCACTGACTCCCAATTGCAGTGAAGTTGTCCAGCCAGCCTCTTCTGCCTTGGGGTATTATGTGTTGGCATCCGTTGGGTGTAACTGGGATCCCTAGTCATAAATATAATACAGTGACATCCTGCTATGACACACTGTGCTCTTCCATCCTGATTAACAGTGGTAGAAGGGTTTTCTGTTAGCTGCAGCTGAATGCATTCCTAACTGCCACAGGTAGCTTAGTTGGGCACAGAAAGGGGGAAGGGACAGATACACCGTACTTATTTTGCTTTAGTAGTCTGATAGGTAAGGGAGATTTTGACCTGAGCCTCTAGTATATTTTAAAGGCAGTCGTTCTGTCAAAGTGTGGTCCGCAGACAAGCAGCATCAATATTGCCTGGGAACTTATTACAAGTACAGATTCTCAGGTCCCCACCCCAGACCTGTTGAATCAGAAATTCTGGGAATGTGATCCAATAATCTGTGTTTTACCAAGCCTGCCTGGTGATTTTCATGCTAACTAAGGCTTGAGATCTGTGGTCTTAAAACTTTCACTGTGTAGGCAATTCTTCCTTCTTCCCCTAAGATAGTGGCCAGCCACCAGCCTCTCCCTTTGCCAATAAACCCAAGTTCTGGGTAATCGTCTCAATTTGGAAGGGCTCTGTAAGAAATACAGCCATTTTTGAGTTATTGTAGATATGGCTAACATGCAGTGTGTACAGAAATAGAGGTGAGAGGATGCTGTCCCGTCACTGCATTGTGGCTTTCTGTGTGTGACATAAAAGTCCCATGCTCAAAGGCAGAGAACTGCTACAAGGAAATAGCCTGTGACCATCAACCAGGGATATAAATTAAAGTGAGCATGACTTCTTGCTAAACCCTAGACCAAACCACTAATGTTAATTAGCAGCTTGCAATTTACACACTACCAGATGGATGTGCAGAAATGTTATCCTCTCTTTTTTCTATAGCTTAACTCAATTTGTGCATTAACCTGCATTTCTGCACTTGTAACTCTCCATTCATGGTAACATAGTCATTCTGGATTAAAACTGTTTCTTTCAGTTTAACTCAGACTCTTTGGAGGAGAAACTCCTCCCATCTCCTCACCTGTCTCCTGAGTACCTACAGGATGATCTGAGTTCCTAGGTGGTTTCTGATACTTCCTGGGGAAGAGTATCCAGTTTTTGTGTTCTGACACGCAATTGCAATATAGCAGTCCAGCTGACTTCCCTTCTGCCTTGGGCATTGTGTATTGGCATCTTCTGGGTGTAACTGGGATCCATAGTCATAAGTATCATGTAGTGATATCCTGCCATGACACACTGTCTTCCTCTCAGCATGTTTTGCCTTGCCACTCTGCTGTATTGCGGCTTCTTGGGCTATGCTCTGAGAAGTGGAGCACAAGCATGCCCACTTGTTTCGTAATGCCTGTCTGTGAGTCTCCATCATTCCCTGAGATTTTGATTCCAAGATGGCAGGGGAGAAAGTAGGCTCTTGTTGCGTCTCCACTCTCTTACTCTCTTTTTTATTTGTTTGTTTTGCTTTTTGTTTTTTGTTTTGTTTTGTTTTGTTTTTTGTTTCCCTCCCCCTGCCCAAGATGCCCTCCTGGAACTCAGACAGGGCTTTTACTTTCACCCTATGTATTGAGAAATGCCCTTACTTCGTAACTTATATCCTTCCTACTGTATGACTTATGGTAAAGACCCTTTACTCTGACTACTCCAGGCTTTGGACCTATAAATTCATTTTTCCTACAACAAATCCTATCTTTTGCAAATGAAATATATTTTAGTTTTGACAATTACTTTCTCTGAAATAATTTTTATTTCAGAGCCTATCATGAAGAGGTTAAAAACTGAGGAAGAAGGAAAGGGAGTGAGATGTTGGACTGGAAATAGGAGGGTTCAGTTAAAGTGTGCATTTTGAATGGTGACACCCTTCAGCTCCCTTCCTTATCCATTTGTCTTTTCTCAGGAAGCTGAAGAATGATATGCTCCACCACAATGAGGGACTAAACAACAACAAGGAGGCACGGGATTCAGGAAGGAAAAAAGGTGTGTAGCAAATTCTCAGGATGATGCTGAAGGAAAACCCCAGGATGACAACTATACTTTAGGCCTAGAGAGCAACTAGTCCCAACTGGAAGTGGGGGATGGAGGACTCTAGGGCAAAATAATCTTCTGATTGGTTTTAACATGTGGAAAGTGAATTGAATTGCTATTAATGGTAGCAGGGTCTAGAAGTCTCAGCAGATTTTAAGGAGGAACAATTATTAACTCAAAAAAAAACCAGTTGCACAAAAAGGAGAGGTAATCATAGTTAACCACTTAACTCAGCACTGAGTGATATTTAAATATCCAGCAAATACAAATTGAATATTGCTTTAATTAAAAAAGAAAATAGATATATTTATGTTGGAAAAATGGGGATAGGAAATGGATGTAAGTGGAAAATGGTATGGTAAGTCAATAGTTAAACACCCAGAATTGATGAATCAAGATACAGAAGTTTAAACATATTATTTAGAAATATGAAGATAACCACAAAGAGAAACAGCTAAAATATTTGAAAATGTTTTCCTCTGGGGAGTGGAATGTAGCCTCAACTTTTTTTGTGTGTGCTTTTTTTTTTTCTACTAACATTCTGTCTCCAACAAAAATAAAACTAAAATTCACCTAATAAATCAGTTTGTTTAGAAACAAATGTGTATGTATTTAAAGGATTACACTAGCAAAAAACAAAAGCAAGCAAACCCCAAACACTTCAAACTGTATATGAACCTAATTAATATTTCACTTGGTTCAAGACTTCTCACATTTGCTTCCCATCTAATTTTGGAAGAAACTCAGGGAGAGAAGGTTTTTACGTAGTCAAACCTATGAGGTTATGCCATAGTCAATATCCTTAGTGAAACTGACATATGAATCTGTTTAGGGCTGAAAAGCAACTACTAATAGACATTGATTTTCAGCTTGTGATGATACCATCTTCCTTCTACTTTTAAGTTTTGGGAAGCTCTGTTTATGCCTCAAATCTGTGATACTCTGTGGAAGTTTGCATTATGATTTTTGATATATCTAGAGATTAGTGACATAAACTACTGAACATATGTAGTTCTAGCAGTTTCTGTTATTCATAATATAGCAACACATTTTATTCATATTCATTTATATTTCATGATAAACAATCAGCTATCTTAGATACAACACATAATTGGTATGATTGTTAAACTCAAAATAGTTACATGGTTTATTGTTAAATACAGACAATGATTTCATATTTGTGCCCTCTTGTATATAAATTGTTTCACATTTTTTTGCTTCTCGTGTGTGCAATAAAAACAGCTCTCATAACTGAGTAGATGTTTCAGTGAAATATTCCACCGTGACATTTAATATATTTATTTGTTGTGCTTAACTTTGGTTCCCAGTACCATGAAATGCAGTCTACAGGTTAGTACTCTCATTTTACGTGATAAACTGGTCCTCATCGTTTACAGCTAGTGAAGCATTTGTATCTGGGACTTTTCTTTGATGAGCCCTTCAGCACGTTACTCTTCTCATTTTCAGAAGCTCCTTTTTTTCTTCCTTCTCTGACTTCTTTTTTCCTAAGGCTCCATTTATTTTTATTTTTATTTTTATTTTTATTTTACTTATTTATTTATTTATTTATTTATTATTATTATACTTTAAGTTCTAGGTTACATGTGCGTAACGTAGAGGTTTGTTACATATGTATACTTGTGCCATGTTGCTGTGCTGCACCCATCAACTCGTCAGCACCCATCAACTCGTCATTTACATCAGGTATAACTCCCAATGCAATCAATTCCTCCCCCCTCCCCATGATAGGCCCCGGTGTGTGATGTTCCCCTTCCCGAGTCCAAGTGATCTCATTGTTCAGTTCCCACCTATGAGTGAGAACATGCGGTGTTTGGTTTTCTGTTCTTGTGATAGTTTGCTAAGAATGATGGTTTCCAGCTGCATCCATGTCCCTACAAAGGACACAAACTCATCCTTTTTTATGGCTGCATAGTATTCCATGGTGTATATGTGCCACATTTTCTTAATCCAGTCTGTCACTGATGGACATTTGGGTTGATTCCAAGTCTTTGTTATTGTGAATAGTGCCGCAATAAACATACGTGTGCATGTGTCTTTATAGCAGCATGATTTATAATCCTTTGGGTATATACCCAGTAATGGGATGGCTGGGTCATATGGTACATCTAGTTCTAGATCCTTGAGGAATCGCCATACTGTTTTCCATAATGGTTGAACTAGTTTACAATCCCACCAACAGTGTAAAAGTGTTCCTATTTCTCCACATCCTCTCCAGCACCTGTTGTTTCCTGACTTTTTAATGATCGCCATTCTAACTGGTGTGATATGGTATCTCATTGTGGTTTTGATTTGCATTTCTCTGATGGCCAGTGATGATGAGCATTTTTTCGTATGTCTGTTGGCTGTATGAATGTCTTCTTTTGAGAAATGTCTGTTTGTATCCTTTGCCAAGGCTCCATTTCAATCTCCTAGTCTTTGTGAATTCTTCTCTGATGTCTCATTTGCATTTTTCCTACAATTTCTCAGAGTTCTTAACACTTTAGCAGCTTTTGCATTTCTTCAAAATGTTGATATATTTGAGTAGGTATTAATAGCTAAATATTAGCAATACATAAAATTTTAATACACATAAAATTAGTAAAAATGCTTTTGTGTTTTAAGTTCACATGGGTGATACTTTATTTATTTATTTTTGTTTTTAACCTGGTTCTTAGTAAGTGTGCAGATACATTTTAATGTTACCTAGTAGAAATTCTAAGTTGATTTTTTTAAGATTAATAAAATCCTAGACATAATGCAATTCTTACAAATTGTTATTTCTTACCTGTCATTTGTCAATGCAGTGTTTATAAATTAACAGTCATGGATTTTCACTTGAATACAAAATGCTGGAACAGTCTGGAATGGACACGTGAAAGCCATCTCAGAGGATTACCTGAGCATCAGATGGATGGAAAAAAATAGTAGATATGTGAGCAAATAGATGGGTAGACAGATTAGTCTTAGATTTCAACTCTATTCCTCCAAAGCATGCTTGAGTTACTCTTTCAGTATTGTGGAAAGGTAACAATGCTGGAAAACTGAGTTCTCTACTTTTGAACTGTTATAGGTATATAACTTATCGGGAAAATAAAACATTTGAAAATGAGAACTTACAAATAGGTTCAAAAACAATTATTTATTTTACAGAGGGATTTGCCCAGACTCCTCATTTAAGGAACGTTAGATCTCAGTATTTCATATATAGATAGTCCTGAAGATGTGTTACTCCTGTAGTTTTCATTTGGGATTGGTGTATTTTGTCTTCCCTATATTGATGAATGCCAGCAATTCCAGGGATTTTGTTGAATATAAACTGAACCAAAAATATATATATTTACTGAGGTGTTTACAGTATTCACCTTTGATTATAGACCGAGTTTCTATCTGGCAATAGGCCTCTGGAAATGAAGCACTGCAACATTACCAGATGTTTTATAAAACCATTTTATCTGCCAAATTTACCAAGTGAAAGTGAGCTTAAAGAACAAACCTGTATCTTACCATTTAACTTACGATTTTTCAAATATGAAGAAAAGCATAGAGAAATGGCAAAAAATGATGAATCTTTGTCCAAAATGCTATCATATTTGCTCTATAAAATATTAAAGGATGCCCCCAAGACATTTTTCCCCTTCCTTCTGAGAAGTAACTACTGTCTTGAAATTGATATGTGTGATCCCTTCAATGCTTTTGTGTTTTAAAAAAGCACATGTAAATATCGTAAATATATAATTTCTGGTGTTATGTGTTTCAAAATTTTAAATAAATGTTATCATGCCATACATATCCTTTTGCAATTTGTTTTTACCGTTCAGCATTAGGTTTTTGAAATTTATCTAAGGAGATTAGTTCATTCATTTGAACTAGAACTATATAGAATCTATTGTACAACTAAGCCAGTTTACTTAATTCCCTTCCCTTACTGATGATGCTAAAGTTGTTCCCACTTTTTTTTGTATTACAAATAGTGCTGTAGTAAACATCCTTATGTATTTATTCTTGTACACACGGGCAAGAATTTTTCTAGAGCTTTAGTTCTCAAACTTAGGCATGCATCAGAGTCACCTTCAATGCTTATTGAAACACAGGTTTTTGGCACCAGGACTACACGTCCTTTACCATAATATAGAAGCTGCTAAATCCAGGCTTCCACTGCTAAGAGTTCCAGATCCATGCCGCTTCTGTCATGATTTCCATCAGTCAAATATATCTCTACATGTTGCCTTTTTGTCTATGTAATGGAGCAAATGCACAATTTATTGTTCAACTCAGGACTCTTTTGAGTCTGAAAGGGAGTGTTTTTAATAATTATAACAACATCTGACTTACAACCCAGTTTTGGATCAAAGCCTCCAATAGGTGCCTCTGGTGGGAAAATCAAAATTACAAATCTACACTAAACAGCAAAGGAACCTGGAAATTGTAGTTTTTGGGATTCTAATTTAGAAAGGTAGACTTTGTGCAGAAATGTCAAAATTCGCCAAAGGCCTTAAAAATAGTTCGAACCTGCCTACAAATCATTGCCTACAAAGCAATGATTACTTTGTTATTAAGTTTTGTTTATTTATTTTTCTGTCTTATTCCACTGGTTAAGACTATCAGCATATTGTCGAATAGTTGTGCTGATGGCAAACATCTTTTTTCTCTTCTTTCTTGTCTTGAAGGAAATGCTAATAAAGTTTCATTATTATGATGATATTTTCTATAGGGTTTAAAAGTATGCTTTTGTGAGGTTGAGGAAATTTCCTTTTATTCTTGATTTTCTGAGGGTTTAAAAAATTATAAATACATATATATTTAATAATACTTTTTGTACATGCAATAAGATAATTTTTTTCCTTTATAAATATGTTAAATTACATTAAAATATTTTCTAATGTTAGCACAGCCTTGAATCCTTGGGATAAACTCTACTTGGTAATGATACGTATTTTTTTTTAAGTATAAAT